GGAAAGAAACAAATGAAGAGATGCAGTCATGTGCCTTCTAAGGCTTCTTCCAGTTTCAAAGGAGTATCTTCATTTCAAAGAAACCCACAGAATTCCACCAGCCAGCTGTAAAGAAGACCCTGGTTGAGGGAAATACTGTGTGTTTAAGAGACACGATACCATTCTCCAAACCCATTAAAAGCAGGGGGCTGGGGATTTAGCTCAGTGGCATAAGCACTTGCCTTGCAAGCAGGCAGTCGTGAGTTCGATCCCCGGTACCGACAAAAAGGAAAAAGACCAAAAAAAAAAAAAAGAAGATTACAAACAAAAATTTTGGAAGGCCTCAGAGAATCAGAGGCTCTCAGAATGTTCTAGATCTTTACAACTGGTTTGGCAAGTTAAGGGGACTGGCAGTCCTTTGTGGAGTGTGAATAAAATGTGGCCCTTTTGGCTTGAAGTCCCCAAAGAACCTTGTTGTCTTGTTAAGGAAATGGGGAGGAGAGTGGACAAACTCTTGTGGATGACAGAGTTAGGGATCCCGGTGTCCCTGGAAAGTCCCACTGTTCTCCTTCACCAAGGGCTTGCTCTGGAAGAACATGAAGCTGTCCCCTGAGGTAATGTCTGTGTTTCCCTCCACCTGTACCTCCACTGGGGACCCCCAGACGCCCCTCAGTATCCTCTACAGAGAGACCCGAGGCCACAACATGACATCTCCCTGATTCTGCCAGTGAGGCCACACCTGTGACTGTGGCCCTGTGAGACTGGAAAGGAGCTGAGAAGTTCATCTTGGCTAGCAACACGCCGCTCTGTAACCTTTGACACACGTTGTGGCGAGGCTGGTATGAACGAGCCCACCGAGCTGCTGAGTGTACCCAGTATGTAATTAAGTACTCTTCCTAACGCTTGGTAACCAGTGACCCTGAGGCTCTGACACTGCGGCATACTTTTATCACTGCTTTCGCACGCACACCTCGTAAAAAGAAAACCATAAGCTGTACGCTGGCCACGCCAGCAGACGCCTTGTACAGTTTTCAGTCATTCTCTCTCCCTTTCCCTCCCCCTCTCCTGCTCCTTACTGTAAGAAGACTTTGGTTGCCGCAGCTGGGTGCCCCTTCCTGGAGCTCCTGCAACCCAAGTGGGTGGGTGGAGTGGGGACGGCAAGCTCCTATTCTATCTCATCCCCCAAAATCACTGTCCTCAGACAGGAGACGTGTCAGGTACCAAACTGGTAAGAACAGATACCAACTTGATCTCAGCTGGCAGGCTGAGAGGCTGTGTTTCCCACCTCTCAATGGCAGCAGGAGGTCACTTTGAGGGTATGACCACCCCTGATGGCTTGAGCACCCTGGCAATGCTCACACAATGACATCTAACAATATTGTCACGGTTCATGTCTAGCTGTCCCCAAGGGCCTCCTGCACCTGCAGGCAGGACCTCTACAAGATGATTGCACGGCGGGGCTGTCCACTGATCTGTGGCTGTAAGGTGGAGCAGGTTGGAAGAGGTGGGTCATGGCTGTGGCTTGGAAGGGCTTATCTCCCTTCCCTTCATCCCCCTTGCTCCCAGTCTGTACCGCTTTGAGCAGCCGCTCTCCCACAGCGCCCTGCTGTCCTGCTGCGCTGCTGGTCACAATGGACTGAAACTTTTACCCCCTGTGAGCCCAAATCCACCTTTCCTGGGTTACACTGCAGGTGTCAGATATCGTGTCTCAGGGATGAGGCAGTCACTAAGACAGACACGTTTCTCAGAACATGTCCCTGTCACCAAGTGACACATGACTGCTTCCCCACCGTCTGACATGCAGGAGATGGTGAATGAAACGCACAGTGAACCCCACTCAGAGTCACACAGTTCACAGCCAAGGAGAGGCCCTCCCATAAAAAGCAAACCTGCGGGCAGGGAGGCTGAACTGAGGCACTCAGTAATAAAAGACCATCAAACAAATAACAGCTACGGAATCCATGTGTACCACATGACAAACACTCCATATCCTTTGCCTTTGTGCTTTTTTTTTGGAGACTGGAAGTGTGTCCACGGCTATTCTGACTGATTTTAGAAGCAGGGTGGGCTTCATGGTGCACAACCTGTACAACTGCACAGGACCCTGCACTGAGAAGGGCCAGTGCTTGGATTAATGCTCCGTGGTCACCATTTTGAAAATTTTGAACTTTGGGGCCCTGCATTTTTGCTTTGTACAGGAGCCCCACAAATGAGGTAGCTGGCCCTGGTTAGGAGCTACTCATCTTGGGAGAATAATGGGGTGGGGGAGGTCAGAGGAGGGCCTAGGAAGGAGGCCAATCGAGGCAGCAGGATCTGAATGATACCAGGCAGTGGAGCATGCATGGAACGGACAGTTTCCTAGGTAACTGGTTGCTCCATCTAAGTGTCACGCACATGCTCTGCTAAAAACATTTCCTGGTGGCAGGGAATTAAAGGAGAGAAACCAGGCCCCAAGAGTGGGCTGGCAGCCCCAACAGTGCTCAGTGACTTGCTTGCCTATGATCAACCCGCAACTGAGGGCATCTAGAAAACCCCAAAATCACCTAGGAAAAAAAAATGCACCTCATATGTTTTAGATGGAGAATGCGCCCCCAAAGCCTCATGAGTTCAGGGACAGGGCTTTGGGAAGGTGACAGAACCATGGGGCTGCCATGGCTGACTTCCGGTCAGGAGGTGGGCCTGACCGGAAGGGGTGGGTCGTGAGGGTGTGGTCTGGAAGGCGCTGCTGTCTCTCTGGTTCCACCACTCACTCTGTGTCCTGGTCACCTTGCTATGCTCTGCACCCTGTGCTCTGCACTGCAGGACTTTCCCCCAGGCCCTTCCTACTTTAGAGCCAGCAACCGTGCCTTGAAACTTCTTCAACTGTGAGCCAGAATAAACCTTGCCTCCATTCACTTTGGAATGTCGGTATTGTGTCCCAGCCATGAGAAACTGACTAATCAGTGCCTCCTCGGGCCTGGTCTTCCGAGGATGTTTGGAGAAGGTGTGGCAAAGCTAGTTCTCCAGAATTCTTTTCTTATTCTGGTTTTGTTTTTTTAAGACAGTCTCCCTCGAACTCACAGCGCTCCTCCTGCCTCAGCCTCCTGAGGGCTGGGATTACAGGCATGCACCACCATGCCTGGCTCAGAATCATTCTTAAGTGACTTGATAGCTCTTGATAAGGGCCACTTATGACTTCTCCCAGAAGCTGTGATCCACAAAGAAGGGATCCACGCTGGACTGGTCCTCCTGGCTCTCATCTTTCACTTTGCCAGGAAATCTCTTAACTTCCCTCTTGAGGGTCTTGAAAACCCTTCTTTGAAAGTGCAGAGAGTCCTTTCTGTTAAGGGTGGGGAGTGAGACTTATTAGGGAAATAATCAACCAGAGTGCCCAGGTGGACCCAGAAATAATTCCAGAAGGGAAATCTAAATCCTCTGGACACTTACTCAACTGTAAACTGGCACTTTTCAGCTGAGAAAAACACCAAGTTACTATAAATTAGGAGGAGGCTTTGCTACAAAGAAATCACTTGAGCACAAGGCTTGGCTCAGTGAGAATATTTTCAGTATCCCAATAAAGTTTTGCATGTGATGTTCTCCACTCTCATGTAGCTAATTACAGTCTACCATGTCTTTTCTTTCCTACTGGGAAAATTGGCCCCGATGAAATCTATGGCTCCAGGTGTATATGGAGAGACCCACCCCTCTCCTCTCTGCTTTTATCCCTTAGTCCTTAGTTGAATGGATCATGATGAGCACATGACCTAGGGAAAGCCAGTCAACCAGGCGGCATTTCCTCTGACCTGAGGAAAGCTGGGCCACGCCCATCTGATCCTCAGGACTTTGGACCAGGGCCCATTAGCAAGGGGGTGGCACAAGCAATCCAGGGTCACAGCAATCCAGATCTGTGTTCAGGTAAGTGTCATGAGAAGCCACAGTGACTCGGCACCTTAAGGTGGCTGAAAGAGTAGAGGGAAGGAGACTTTAGTCCTCAGAGCCCTCTCTGGCCTTCCAAATCCCAGTCTGTCTTCTCCCTCAGCTGCCCCTGCTTGGAGGGTGGAAGCAGACCCTGTGGAGGAGGGCCCACAGACACAGGTCTCCTGCAGCCCTGGCGTTCTGCAGAGCCACGTAGTCTGGAAGGCTACTTGGTGCTGCACCCGGCTCTGCGGCCTGTTGGGAGAAATGCCTCACCATCATCAGGCGTAGAAACCCATCCTAAATGTCACACTTCTTCAGCCCAGACTCCTTCTGCCTCGTGCCTGCAAGGCATCTCTCACCTCCTTAAGCCACCATAGCTTCTTTAGAAATCTGTCCTCTGAACAGACCTTGGGCTGCTCTCAGCAAGCTGCTCTGTTACCCTCAGGCCCTGGCTGAGCGCCTGGCTGGGTGAGAAGGACCCGGTGGAGGAGGGAGGGACAGCTTGGCAAGGCCCTGGATCAAGCACCCTGCTCCTCCTCGATGTATACCTTGGATGACAGAGGCTCAGACAGGGACAGAGGCTTCTGAAAGGGTAGAGAGGCTATGGGTGAGGATCAGGGATCCAGCGCTCGTCTGCCATGTACATCCCTGCGTTCCCTCCTCAGCATCATGAAAACGAAAGAAAGATGCAGAAAGGCCGGAGGGGATTCTTGTGAGTGGGGCTTCTCCTGTGGAACCCTCTGTGTGGGCCCTGGAGGGCGCCTCCTGCCTGGACGCTCCAAGAGCCACTTTCTGCCTGCTTGCCTGTGCACTCAGAGCAGGGTGGCTCAACACAGCCTGAGGCCGTAGCCCAGGAGTTCTGACCCCATGTGGCCAGGGCCAGTCCCTTCCCTCTTCATGCCACCTTGCAGGGTATAAACCCTGACTTAGAACTCTCAGGAGTGAAGCACCACTGCTTTTAAATGGGTGGGGCCCTGGATTGGAAGAATCTGCTGACCTTCGTGAAGCCAGTGTGGGTGACCTCATCACCCCACTGTGAGAAGGCCTGCCCCACCCCATCCTGGCCCATCTGCTCTTCTAGCCGCCCCAGTACCTCTGGCCCTATCATAGCCCTTCCCCTTCTGGGGAAGAGAAGGGGAGAGCAGCCCAGAGCCCAGACCTGTTTCCCTGAGCCCCTGCCATCTCAAGCAGCCCAGCCTGCAGCTCCAGAAGAGCAGGACCTTTAGGTCTGGGGTCCCTGGTTTTCTGTCCATATCCCACAGCCTGAGGACTACCTCACTCAGGTGCAGAAAGAGGATTTGAGGAGATGTCCCAGGGACACATGTGTGCCTAGGCCTTGCTACAGGGTTAGGATACAGTAGGAGGATACAGTAGGAGCAGCAGGACAAGAAAGAGCAGTGGGGGTGACATGAGGGAGGCCTGGGCCTCAGGATTAAATTCCACCACTCAGGAGGCTGAGGCAGGAGGATGCTGAGTTTGAGGTAAGCTTGAGCTAAATGGTGTGTTACTGTCTTAAAAGGAACCTCACTGTGCTGCTGGGGCCTGTCCACAGGTGCGGTCCCCACTGTCCCTCACAGATTTTCTTTCAAAACAGAGAGCAAAGGCTCCGGCTAGCCCCAGGTGGCACCTCTGACCTGTCCCATTCCCCAAGTGGCACTCTTCTCTTGCAGCAGGGAACACAGGCTATGGAACCGAGGAAGGCCCAAACTCGTGTGCCCCCAGAACAGCCCCTGGCCACCAGCCAAGGTGCAGAGCCCATGCCAACTCCGAAGCTGAGCCCACCGCCCTCTGTGAAGGTAATTGCTGAACTCCATGAGCCAAACACCTTGAAAGAGCTAAAATGACTTTAAATGCCTAAACATTTTAAAACAAACCCTACAACACAGGGCTTTTAATCCTTTTTTTTTCTTCACCCCCAGTGCTAATGCTCTTTCTGTCTCTCCCTGCTTTCTCTTTTGGGGGAAATTCAAAAGCCGTTTTCCGCCTCATTACCTGCACACTGTGAGTGATGTCTGTCGGTCCGTGCGCTGTAAATACCTTAAATCACGCTTCATTAAGAATATCTATGGTGCTATTAGAGAGCTATAATAGACAACGAGTTAACAGATGATTAAAGATGAATTCCATTTGTGTCAGTCACCAGCCAGGGAGAGACAGAGGCTGGAAGTTCTCGACTCATTATCCAGGCTCTGTGGGGCCGGGCAGGCAGGGCTGTCTGCTCTGGAGCTGGCCCGGGCCCTGGGGGTCCCAGTGGGGCAAGGTGAATGTGCTTGAGGGACCAGGGCAGGGTGGCTCTGGGGCTGCGGGGAGGAGAGGTGTGGTGTGCATGTGTGCAGGTGTTCACGTGCATACATGTGCTCACCCCCACCCCATGCACGTGTGTGAGGACCTGTGCTCACAGACGGCTGTTTCCATGCAAAGAGTCAGATGCCACTTGGAACTGCAGGAGACAGGTTTCTGCTGACTGCCCAGTAGCCAGAGAAAGGGGACGGTGGCCCAGAAGTGGAGTCTCCAGAGGTTTTGGCAGCAGCCCCAGCAAGTAGGAAGAATGGAGAGGTGTCCTTTCCTCAACTGTGTTTCCAGGAAAGACTGGGAGGAGCATCACCAAGAGACAAGGGGTTCTGGTGAAGGGGCGGGGTGCTGAGGGAACAGAGTTTCCTCTTGGAGAACTGTTAGTCAAAGACCCAAGCACCACCTTGTGCTAACCTCTCCTAGGGCAGTGAGTACCCGCCTTCCAGCTTAGCCCTGGGGACCAGAAGGGCTCCCCCTGGGACAGATGCACAAAGGCACCCCCAGAAATGAAAGGGAGGGCTGGGGATATAGCTCAGTGGCAGAGCACTCGCCTAGTAGAAAGGGGGGACTGGGTGTGGTGGTGCTTCCTGTAATCTCATCACATGGGAGGCTGAGGCAGGAGGTTCTCTTCTAGTTCAAGGCCAGCCTGGGCTACATAGTGAGATTCTGTCTCAAAAAAACACAAAACAGATAAAGGAGATGTGCAAGGTTTCAGTGTGTTTCATGGATATGAAATGACTTTTTTCATCCATCCTTTGGAAGACTGGGAATTATTCTCCCATTTTAAGTGGCAAACCAAGGCACAGGGTAGGAACAGATCCCAGCCATCTGTGAGTTAGTAGATACGAAGTGCCTTCTCCTTGCAGGATGTGCTTCTGGGATCTAAGGCCTGGTTCTTCTGAAGCTCTTTGCAGATGAGAAGGTGGAAATTCCACAGTAACAGTGGAGGAGGAAAAGCCGTGCACTCAAGGTCAGTTAGAGAGCAAAGAGGTGCCGGAAGCCAAGGCATGTGGGTCGCGATCTTGGTTGCGTCTGAGTAGCTCGTGCTAATGATGAGACACCAGCTCCTCCTGGCATCTTCTGACCCAGACAGTGTTTCAGTGCCCTGTGCCAACTTATCCTGGCTCTGCGGGTGGCGCTGATGTGTGGCATTATGCTATGCACGTCCCCAGTGCTGCTGTCACGTTCTCTGACATCCTGGTGTCACCTGCCATGCAGATTTGAGCGTGCTACTTGGCCTGGGGTGTTACTATGCTCTTTGCACTTCATATCTACTTTTTATGCAAAAGAAAAAAAAAAGATGTCAAAATCTGATGCTTCTGCCAGCCGTGGCATTGCATGCCTGTAATCCCAGCTACCTGGGAGGCTGAGGCAGGAGGATCACAAGTTTGAGATCAACTTGGACAAATTAGTGAGACCCTGTCATAAAATAAGAAATGTATGGGGCTGGGGATTTAGCTCAGCGGCATAAGCGCTTGCCTTGCAAGTGTGAGTTCGATCCCTGGTACCGATAAAAGCGAAAAAGAAATGTATGTAGCATGCCCTTGGGTTCAATTTCTAATACAGCTACAGAAAAAAAAAATCTGATTTTCTGGTTTTTCCTCATGGAGCTGACTGTGTGGCTGTTGACGTCTCCGTGACTCGAACCTGTCATCTGTCCCCATGAACGCACTGGTTTGTAACTGAGACTCAGAGAGAGGGCCTGAGTACAGCTTGAGAAGAGGATGGACTGGTGGGCATTTGATCAAGGCTGGATGGAAAGAAACTGAGAGCCAACTGGGATGGGGGGAGTGGGCACAGAGGGACTTGTGTCTGGCTGTGGCTTAATAAAAAGGGACTTGGGGTAGTGAGTGACAGGGGCAGAATGATTATGTTTTTTACTCCAAAGCCCTCCACCTAGGGTTAGGGTTAGAGGGACTCTCCAGAGAATGACAGGCACAATGGCAGGCAGGGGTAATTGGGGCCCGTGGCCACTGGCAGTGGCCTGACTCAGAGCAGCCAGACCAGAGACCACAGGGTAACCGGAAGTGACACAGCCAGGGGCTTCCTCCCTGCGTGGGCTGGTCTCCCTGCTGGGAGAACTGGGATGCCCGATGGGAAAGTCCTGGGTAAATAGCAGGAGGCAGAGCTGTGAGGGGCTGCGGCACTATTTTTTTTCTTGGTCTAAAAAAGTGCACATTTTTATGGCAAGTGTGCGTGCGATGGTAGAAAGAGCAAGGGCTCCGAGCCTCGCTTGCCACCTACTGCTTCTAGTCTTCCTCATCTTTACCGTGGAGAATCGAACCCTCCCTCCCAGTGCGGCTTGCAGAGGTGCAGGCAGGAGCCCTGGCCGGCTCCCAGGCAGGCAGGCCACTGGTGCTGGGCCCTGCCTACCAACAGCCGCAGCCTCCCAGGGCTCCGGGAGGGCGGGAGGAAGGGGCTGTCATGGCAGTGCAGTGCGATCCAAGTTTAGAAAGGAGTTGGAATAGACTTGGGTTCAGACTCCGCCGGCTTCGTGCCACGTTCCACTTCCAGGAAAAGAAACGGGCTTGTTGGAAAAAGCAAACAGACTCCGAAAGCATCTTGGGCATCCAACAGTTCTTAGGAAACAGCATTTGGGCAAACATCACTGAATCAGCAACACTTGGATCCCGTTTCCATTGACAGCCTCATGAACTGAAGAGCGAGAGGCGGGGGTCCTGGGAAGGCAATCTTTTAGGGACTGGGTCCAAATGCATCCTGGGGGATGGCCACTACCTCCTTTCTCCCATCCCCACCTGGCTGCAGGGTCCCTCAGATTAGATCTACCATGCAGGAGCCATGGGCATCGCTGGACTTCTGAGGGAGGGGGTGCAAAAGACCCTAGACCCAAACATCGGGCATAAATTCCATCCTTATCAGGCTCACATGGCCTCTAATGTGACTTTGTGTTCCAGTATCTTTGCAATGACTTTTTTGAGACAAAGTCTTATGTAGCCCAGGGTGGCCTTGAACTCTTGGCAATCCTTCTGACTTAGCTTCCCGAATGCTGGGATTATACGTATGGACCTACCTGCCCGGGTGTAATCGCTTCATGGGAATGAATGCATACTGTCGAGGAAGTGCCCTGGGGATCCACAGAGAGCTTTTAGGAAAGACTCTGGGGGATTTTACAACCATAGGGTGAGACTTGGAGATCATTTGCTATAACTTATTGTACAAAGGAGGAGGCTGAGGTTCAGGAGGACCAAGTAACTTGACCAAAACCACACAGCTAAATTCAGAGTCTTCTGCCACTCCAGTGCTATTCCACAGTGCCACCCACTGCCAGAGTTATTCAGGTCCCCACATCTGCAGCCCACGGTGAGAAGGAAAACCCTCCTCTCTCTTCCTTGCTTACTGGAACCAAATCACCAACAAAAAGCCGCTAGGAAAAGAGGACAGTAAAGAGCTCCCCGGAAAGCACAGGGGGGGGGGGCAGAGGTGGGGAAGGGAGAGAACACACATGGGTCCTGATAATTGAATCTTGGTGCAGAGAGACAGCTGGACGCTCTTGCAATTCCGTTGAGTAGAAAATGTGATTTCCGTATTGTTAGAAGTCTCTGTGGCCCAAGGCCCTGATCATTTACTCCAAGCACCTGGTGGTCTCGCGCATCTGACCCCAGTGCTCAGCTGAGCCATGGGGCAGCTAGGATCAGCCGTGGGGCAGGGAACGAAATTAATTTTCAGTCCCCAGGGTGACAGTTGGTAGCCGAGCAGCCAGGACTACATAGAGCTGGAGAGAATGGAGCAGGCTCCCTCCGGGGGGAGTTACTGAACTCCCAAAGGACTGGTGAGGAAGAAAAGAGGGGGAGAGGGAGACGGGCGAGAGAGTCTTTATTGGCAATCCCATCACTGGCATGCAATGGACATTTTCCTGCTGGAGATTTTGCCTCTCCCTGATTTCTCTTCCGAATATTTAATTTCAGACTCTTGCCCTCCACCTCCAAAGAAGCAACCCCTAGAAATGAGAAGAGCTGAGTTTCTTTTTTTCTGTCTTCTTCCTACCTGTTGTATGGCGGCAAGAAATTGCTTTGCAAAAAGGCCTTGCTCTAGTTACGTGACAAACGTGGTGTGTTTCCGGCTCCAAAGACCAAAGAGCACCCACATCCCAAAGTCTTGTCCAAAGCCAGGGATAAAGGAGAAAGCTTTGGTCGACTTTCCCTTTCAAGTAGTTGGGAAATGAACAGCAGTTTAAAACACCCCAGTGCCACCCAACCAGCAAGAGCCTAGAAAAATCTGTTTTCCAGCCCGTACTTGGTTCCAGCAGAGTCTTTTGTGAGTGTGAAGAAAATATGAATTATGGTTCCTAGCCATGCAAAGTCCTCACTATAAAAAAAGAAAGAGAAAAAAAGAATCAAAGAAAATTCTGCATGTTTCCATTTCATTTGCTCACGTGTTTAAATACACAGCAGCCTAAATTTTCCATGTCCTGAGCAATTAACAATTAAAAAAGAAAGAAGCCTGGAAGATGAGGGCAACATTGGAGAAACGAAAAGCGCTCAGATGGAAATGTGTGTTAATGCGATCACGTCTCTAACACTGCGCGCTGCAATCCCGGTCCTTCTTGAAGACAGGAGCGGGGTCTCAGCAAAGGAACAGGGCATCATTAGCACAGTCAGATCTCTGTGTCTCAGCCCACAGCAATTACCACCTGGGAGCCCACGGCGCTTTCATTACGGAGATGTAAGGGGGCGCTTACACGGAGCCCCTATATTGAGCTGAAACAAGCATTTTCTGCACTAAGGACCCCAGCTTTGTTTCAATATGTAATTGCTTTGATTTGGGTTCACATGGGACATGGCGACTTCATGACTAAGAATTAGATTAGTCAATAAATTTGCTACTTTTATGAATCATTTGTCAGCTTTCATCTTAGTTCTTTCCCACACGGGTCTCAACGGCGTAACAGATTTCTTTTTTCCCCTGGCGAGGGCCAGTGAAATAGCCCTTCGAGGCCACCTGTTCTGGGAATAATTGGCTTCTGGGGGTAGGATGAAATCAGTGGATGCAAACAGGAAGCCTGCTTCCTGCTTTGCTACTCCACGCTCAAGGAGGTCAGAGCTGGGTGCCGGAAAGGGTTGATTGCAAAGTCCTTATACTTACTGAAAGCTTTTCACTATTAAAACTCCTTAACATCTACTAATTCAAGACCCTGGGAGCAAGGAAGGTACCCTTCTGCCCAGATCACCTCAGTGCTCATTGCTTGGGCTCAGTGAATGGTGGCCCAAATCTATGGAAGGCTCTGAGCAGAAATTTGTCAGATGAAGGTAAAGAAACACTTTTTCTAGGCCTTAGGAGCAGTTGAGACTGACAGATGAGCAAATGGCTGGAGATGTATCTCCACTGGGCAACAAACCAATTGCCTTAAAAAAAAAACAAAAACTGGTGATAGTTCAGATAGCAAAGATAACAATCCCTCCCCAACACCAGAATCCAAAGACTGTAACAAACACTCACAAAAGAGAAGAAATTATGGTGGCTCCACACAACAAAGTCAATGGCTACCATGTCACACACAGATGAGTGGTATCACAGTCTTTCTCATCCAATGCATGAGTCCAAGTGCTAGAGACTGGGAGATAGGCCTTCCCTTTGGGAATTGACTGGGTTACCAAGTGGTGCTGAGATCGCCAGCACACTGGGTGAGGGCAGCACTTTGCAGGGTTCATGGTCCAGGATATTTCCACCTATGGGGCTCTAGTTTCCTTAGGAGATGGAACGTGACTTATGTGTCCCTGCATGTCATAGGATGACTCTTTTTCAAGAGGGCTTGATGGATACACATTCATGCTCTATTTGAACCTTTGCACTTTTAGGGCCTGATGCACCCTCCTCCTACACAACCAGCACAGGCTCGGGCCTTACAGGGGAAAGGGCAGAAGACAGTGACACTGCAGGAGAGACCAGTCTCAGGACAGCCCTCAGTGGAAATGGATTTGTACCTGTGCCGGTGACACCCAGCGATGTAAACACCCCCATCAACGGCCTAGGAAAAGCAGGAGAATGATCAGAGGCTGGGCTCTCGGGAAGCAGAGGGGTTAATGTCTTTCCTCCTGCTTTTCACTTAGGGAGTTTGAATTCTCCATCAAGTGATTTGTCAGGATTGTTGTGTATTTACTGTAATTACAGAACATCAAGTGCGCTTTGACGTAATTACCATAAATATGTGTAAAGACATTATAACGTGTAATTATGTCATATAATTCTTTAATAAGGCATGCAGATGAAAAATCACTCTGCACATGCTCACTTCTTTTCTACTGAAGGTTTTATTTCCTCCCTTTCTCCTCTCCTTCCCTATCTTCAAATTACAGGGACAGTTTTTCCTATTGAGGACTGATTAGCAGAAGAGTGAGGTTAGAAAGTGTGTGTGCGTGTGTGTGCATGCAAGTGTGTGGGAGCAAGAACGCACACGTAGAGAAAGACAGAGAGAGAAAGACAGAGAGGGAAAAGAAAGGCACTTTCCCACCCAGAAGTTATCATAGTCCAGATGTGAATGGCACATCTGTCTGGCATTGGTGTCCTCATTGCTGGTGGTGATGAAGTCTATGACCTGGGATCAACCCCTTCTCCTCATCTGGCATTGGCTGGGGTGACCTGTGTCCCACAAGGTGAGTGTGTCCATGCATGGCCACTTCCTTGTCACTGAGGGCCATCTGCTTTGTTGACACAGAGCTCCCGAGAGGAACACTGTGGAGAGAGCTTTGTAAAGATTTGGACAACAGGGAAATGCCCCCAGGTGGGGTCAGTAGGAGTTTTCTAGCAGTTTAGTTGGGCCGGCTTGTCACAGAGATGGAAACAGACTTAAAAGTCCTTAGCTATGGGCTCTGTGTTGAG